GACAAGTTTTTTTTCAAAGGGCAAGCAAGAGTCTACCTAAACTTCAACACAATGATGCACCATCACTACAATGTTCAGAGTTCATCCTAGAGCTGAAATTCTATTGACAGCAACCTAGACCTAGTCCTTGATAACAATTAAATTAGAATCTGTCATAATTCTGATAAGTCTCTTAATTTCAAGTAGTCACAAAACAACAACAGAACGAAAACAACATTTAACATTTTTTGTGACTCTCAGATAATATTAAAATGACATAATTAAAGCATTCAGGGATCTTGAAATTGCCTCAGACAATTCTGAGAGAGTGGTTACATTCAAACATCTAGAGACAACTATAAATGATAAATGAGCTAAATGAAATAATGTTGGAGGTGAAAGAAAGGATGACAGCGCGGCAAACGTTCCTATTTCAGCCTACAAAAGCTACTGGGAAACAAAAACCTCTCGAGGGGAACAAAGAAGACGCTAGTGAGACTTGGACCATAACTAGAAAAGCAGAGAAAATCCTGAGAAAAATATATGGCCCAGTGATGGAAAGTGATGCCTGGAGAATCTGTACAAACCAAGAGCTATACCAATTGTACAAAGACCCACCCATAGTCGCAGCAATAAAAAAAGGCAGATTGCAATGGGCAGGACATATTGAAAAGATAGAATGAAGATCAACGATGTAGAGAAGGATTTACGCCAATTGTGAGTTGTCTTACGACTTTTCACGATAACTTATCTTATTGAAGAAGTTTTCAGGTGAAACGTCCCTTCTTTAAATTTAAAAAAAATATATAATATTATATATATATTCCAAGCATCTCTCGTTAACATTTATGAGTTACCTGGAAGCTGTCATTGATCTTTTATTTTCCAAAAATGGAGAGAAATATGACTAAAAATTATTTGATGGATTAAACCAGCAAATATGCAAAATATCTTTTCAAATCTTCCTTTGTCATTAGACTTGTTTATTTACACATTGCCAGATTTCTTTTTACGTAACTAATATAAGTAAAACATGGATCGAATGGAGTCGGATAACTCTTATTTGAAAATGCCCGTTAAATAATCTGTAATTTTTATTTATTTATTAATTTTTTTTTTAGATTATGTATGCTGAAATAAATGAACTGCGGTAACGAAGTTACTTTTTAAATAAATTAACTAAATGAAAGGATTGGTCTGCTAAGCAGAATAAACGCCAAAGGCTTCTACATATGTTGTGGGTGTGATCTTGATTATTCCACACCTTTATCAGCGAGTAAGAACAAGTCCTTCGAACCGCTTACAGATAAGCAGGTTTATTTCCCGTATGCAATATATATATATTAATTAAGTAAAATTCTTTACCTTGGATTTACCAGGCCACTTACCTCGAGATAGGCCTATATGATCTACTGAACGAGTGGGGGTGGGGGGGATTGTTGATTTGGGAGATTTTGTATACGGGTGGGGTCTCAGAATGTATACGTATCTTTATGTACGGATTCTGTACCAGGTAATAATTTTTAATGATCCTGAGATTCTGACAGTCCTTAAATATCCCTAATGTTGCCAGGGAGGAAGTCCAAAGGGGTCGTTCGTAATTACGTCACATTAAAAATGACCCTTTTAGATCCCCCTCCCCCCGTCACCAAGTGCCACAAATTCTTTACCCCCCAACCCCCGTGTCACGTCACACTTAAAAAATTCAAAACATACATACAATTTTCATAACAAAACTAGGATTTTATTTTATTCTTTAAAATTTTCCCTTAATGGATTAAGATGTATTATTATTATTAGAAAACTGAGTTTCATAGTAGGCCTAACAATGACCAATAATACCTGAGGCGATTTAGACCTCAAATTAATGTTTTTTAAAATTAATGTAATAATTTTTTTTTTCAAAATTAGAAAATTTTAGATTAAAAAAAAAAGAAAGTGACGTCACAAATTTTGACCCCCTCCCCCGATCACAAATTCTTGACACCGCCACCCCCCTGAGCGTGACGTAATGTGCGAACGACCCCAAACAATTAATGGGGGCGACAGGAAAAGGTTGGGGGGTGTATATAAATAAGACTTTTTTGCGTACCTACTTTACATATGGATGGCCCAGAAAAACAAACAAAACTTACTGTTTCTCTATAAAGAAAGCTTTGTTTAAACTTGGTAGTTTCACTAAGGTAACTATAGACAACGTCTCTTGTAGAGATTGGTGAAAAAAACAGCTTTCATTTAAATTTAAAAACCTATTCTTTTTTTTTTTTTTATCAACATTGTTATTGTTATTGAAATAAATTTTGGGTGAGAACTAGAAATATATTTTGTGACGAATAAAAGCAGTTCAACATTAACAAGCAAATTAATATGTCGCTGCACCCTGCCACCATTTTTATTCCACATCATCTTTAAAAAGATACGTCTTCTTTGACAAGGTCTGGCCGGCACAGCTAGCCATGACCTTGTTATCTTAGGACAAAGTCTGGCTGGCACAGATAGCCATAACCTTTTTTTTTGGGACAAAGTCTGACTGGCACAGCTAGCCATAACATTGTTATCTTAGGACAAGGTCTGACTGGCACAGCTAGCCATGACCTTGTTATCTTACGACAAGGTCTGGCTGGCACAGCTAGCAATAACCTTGTTATCTTAGGACAAGGTCTGACTGGCACAGCTAGCCATAACCTTGTTATCTTAGTACAAAGTCTGGCTGGCACAGATAGCCATGACCTTGTTATCTTAGGACAAGGTCTGACTGGCACAGCTAGCCATAACATTGTTATCTTAGAACAAAGTCTGGCTGGCACAGATAGCCATGACCTTGTTATCTTAGGACAAGGTCTGACTGGCACAGCTAGCCATGACCTTGTTATCTTAGGACAAGGTCTGACTGGCACAGCTAGCCATGACCTTGTTATCTTAGGACAAGGTCTGGCTGGCACAGCTAGCAATAACCTTGTTATCTTAGGACAAGGTCTGGCTGGCACAGCTAGCAATAACCTTGTTATCTTAGGACAAGGTCTGACTGGCACAGCTAGCCATAACCTTGTTATCTTAGTACAAAGTCTGGCTTGCACAGATAGCCATGACCTTGTTATCTTAGGACAAGGTCTGACTGGCACAGCTAGCCATGACCTTGTTATCTTAGGACAAGGTCTGACTGGTAGAGCTTGCCATAACCTTGTTATCTTAGGACAAGGTCTGGCTGGCACAGCTAGCAATAACCTTGTTATCTTAGGACAAGGTCTGACCGGCACAGCTAGCCATGACCTTGTTATCTTAGGACGTCTGACCGGCACAGCTAGCCATGACCTTGTTATCTTAGGACAAAGTCTGACTGGCACAGCTTGCCATAACCTTGTTATCTTAGGACTAACAACACAAGTCTACTAAAAAAAAGTCTACTACTACAGCTATTATAAAATGTTGGCTGGAGCTAAGCCGATTGGTTACAACTTTCTACTTGAATAGTTTTTTTTCAATTTGTAGTTCATTTTTACCTTATAACCTGTTCCCTTTTGTTCACAGAATAACTTTATAGACCAGGGGTTCTTAACCTGTGGGTCGAACGACCCTTACACAGAGGTTGCCGTCGGAAAACACATATTTATAAAGTAGCAAAGAAAATAATTGTATGGTGGGGGGAAAGATTGAAAACCGCTGTTTTTGGAGGTGTGCCGGGAGAGGCATTAAGAGCTCGTACAGCTTGACGGCCCACGGACACCATTTCCCAATGTAACACATATCATAGTGCATTTTATCATCCTCTTTTGTGTATGAGAGGAGCAGCCCACAAAGTTTTCTTTATGATAATGACAAAAAGCAAGACAGTACTAACAAGAGCCTAACAAAACACAGCTGTTGATCAGGTATTATGACTTTTAATTTCGCCAATGCTGTGATCATACATTATGCACATACACCAACTGGTATTTCATGATCAGTAAAGTAAGCCTGGGCAATTAAAACAAAGTGTCCAATAAAAACCTAGAAAGCCGGTTGTCACTACAAATGCAATGAGCTATTGCCTGGTTAGTTTCCATACATCACATCAAGGACAGAGATTAAGTTGTGCATAGCCAACATTTAAATAATCTACCGAGTTCTCAGCCACCCTTGTACAAGCAAGTGACTTCCACATCACAGCCCAGACATTCAATAAATTTGTACAAAAATCTTGCAAAGTTTATGTCATGAATTGTTCCTGAAACAAACAAAAAACATCAAATATACAGGCCGATGAACAGGGATTATAATAAAAGGTAAAACAAAAGTATAAAAACAAAACCATTCGAAATAGCAAGAAACGAAGCAGGGAGTCATGAGTATTACTAATAAAACCATAATGTACAAAGGGGCTTTCATATCTTATGTACATAGCATTGAAAAAAAAAAAAAAAAAAAAA